AAAAGGAAAAAAAAATGCAGAAAGGCAGACCAACATAATGAGAAACTGGAGCAATCTGAGTTGTGCCCAAGAAAACAACTTTGTAGATTGGATAGGTTTAAAATGCCAGATTAAGTTTAATGCAGTTATTTATGTAAGACAATAATTTGGCGTAAAAGAAGTTTACCAACCATACCCAGAAAATCTGCAGTCAGCTGTATAGATGGAAAGTCACCAAAATAAAAGCAGCTGTCCAATGAGGCATCTCTAGCTTGTCAAAACTAAACAGTTTCTCAGAAGTACCTGGAGGATGATGTGAATATTTTAACTTCTGACATTTATCTTCTTGGCACAAAAGCCTTATGGGGAGAAGAACCACACAATTTTTAGAAAGTAGTTTGAAATATATGTAACTATCCATACAATATCTATATATAATAGATAATGATTTCCGTATTTCTCCATTGGCTCTCAGTCTCGTTGTTGAGCAGATTCAGGAAATGCAAAAAGATATTTCTTTTTGGCTTTACATTACCACTCACACCACACACCCACACCCCCTTATTAGCAACTGCAAAGACTGCCATGTAACTGGGAACCCAACTTCATCTTTATGCTAAGTCCTGCCTTTGGAATCCACTCCTAAGGTCAGCATGAAAACTCAAGGAGCTAAGGATAATGCTAACAACTGATATATTTGTTCTAAAATTGGATGGTAGCTGCAAATGGACAGATCTTCTCCTTCCAAGAAAAGGTTATCTGCTCAGCAGGATGCTGGGACCCACTGGCAGAAGCAAATGTGCAGCAGTTTGTACTCTGATTTACTGTATCTAACCTCTGGCTAAATGATTGAGAGGATTTTCCCTTGTAAGATTTGCTCTCTTACACATTGTGCACATGTATCAAATCCCCACCATTTTCCATTGCATTCCACAGTCTTTACAAGCAATTGGTGTCTCCTTTGAGGCACCCAGCATGGTGCACCCTTCCTTTGTGATGGTGCCCCAGCCAACCGGAATTCCGGGCGTGCAGCAAGGGGTAAGGAGAAAAGCACAAGTAGGCAGGGCAGGGACTGGGCAAAACAAAGGATGACAGATGGCTGAGGGCAGCAAAACAGCCCCTGAGAGGAGTGATGAGAGCCTTGCTTCATGTTGTATACATGAAAATAGTGCTGCTGGCCAAGGCAGCGAGTCATAGGAAAAGCTGGAGCCGATGGGGGGACAGAGGGAGCAGCCAGTCCCCAGCTGGGCCAGCAGCACCGAGGACTGCCAGGCACGGCTGGGCTCATCAGACAGCACATGGGTGGAGGCCCACAAGCCACTGAAAACTACAGCTAGATTTTGCCAACACGTTTGACTAATCTGGAGCATGTTCCCAGCTCTGCTTCCCACAGTGCTGCTTTGCATGGAGGTACTAACCACATTCAGGAACAGCTCTAAACCCTCTGGGCACTGCCACAAAAACTGACAGGAGAAGATGGGGTAACAGTGAGGACGTCCTCACCCCTTCTTCCCAGGTTTTTAGCGGCCATACTTTCCCCACAGCAAGGCTCAAATTTTGCTTGCATTATGGCAGTTGTCCTACTATCCTTGCTTCCCAAGTAAGCATGGAGAACAATCCTTTCTCATCTCCATGATCAATCCATTCTCAACTCTGTGCTGTCTTCCAGTCCCTGCCATTCCACCTCATCTTAATGCTGATGGGGAGAAAGTGAAATTCCAACATTCATCCAGTACAAGTAATTGCAAAACATCCAGGGCAAGGCTTTGTTTTTTTCCACATCATGCTTTTACTCAAAAAGAGGCCCAGTTATCCTGGTTTTAAACCTCCTTGGAAAAGTTTGAAATGCTTAAGTGGCAAACTAATGTTCAACATAAAGATCCAAAAGGGAGATATTCTGCTCTTGAGGGAGACTGCACATTTCCCTTCCAACCCTGGCCTCAGCTGAAGTATTACAATAATGACAGATGAGCTCCTCCAATAAGAGGCTTTCCTTTCCTTGACTTCAGTGGTCAATTTTCCACAGTTTTACGCAACATTTTAATCTCATGTCTTTCAACTCTATATTCTCCTGCTATGTTGCTTATGAAAATGGCATTAATAGAAACAGAAAATCTGTTAAGCAGGGTAAGTGCTGTATTACATGTGAGAGCAAAACAAGCAGCCCCTGGCACTGAGTACCAAAAGGATTCCATTAAACAGAAGGAATACACTCTTCCAACTGGCACAGTATCATTTCACTTTGTTGACAGTATATAGTATAATGATTATCTACAGCTGGGATGGGAAAATATAAATCACATTAATTTTTAAAAATATACTTAGCTATGCAGACCACAGGAATACACAACATTCAAAAATTGATTATGGCTATGGGATTTGATTTTTTTTTTCTTTAAGTGATAATATATATAGGAACTAAGAGCTACTCCCACATCTTCATTAGCAACTTCTTCAGATCGTCCAAACTACAGAATGTGCTTTAAATAAATTTGAATAAACACACTTGGCTGACAGTCTTCTCACAGAAAAATGTATCTTTAATTTAAATAAATCTTTAACATTCACTCTTTTGCAACATGCCAATCTACTTGTTGCTTTGATTAAAGAGTCATTTTTAGTTTCACTAAATGAACATTATTAAAGAGATTCTTCCCAAGAATACTGAATAATAAGAATATTTGATCAAGAAAGAAAACTCCTTGATGAAGTTATTAGCTACAGATTAATTTCTTTGTGCAAGTGACAGAGACTTACAGGATATTGATAATGACTAGGCAGGCAGTCTATAGGAACCATGCACATTTATCTTTCATCAATCACAGTCTTATCTTTTATATATTAAAAGGAACTCAGAAAGTGATAGCGTAGACAGCTTGCTGACATTTAAATTTCTTGTGTTTTCTTCACCCTCCTTTTTCTTTACCCCTTAATATAACCCAACTGTATTAGTCAGCAACTTCTGTTACACAGGACATTGTCTTTGCACAGAACTTAGGGCATGGGATTTCAAACCCAGAATATTCATTCACAGAAGAAACTAAATTCACCATTATGTACATTTGAAATCAGATTTGACAGAACAGCACTAGAAGTATGGATGTGCATTAACAAAAGACTTCCTTCATATATAGGCAAATCCTAATCTTTCTTAAAAACATCCCAGTAAAAAGGATCCAACATCCCAAAGACAACATATATGTTTACAAAGCAATCATTTACAGAAATTGACCAGAAATTTGTATTTTCATAAAGAAGTAGCACAACTTTCCTTTGCCTACAATGTAAATATACAGACACTCTTTTTGAAGATCATGTATTTTCAAAAACAAGGCAAGCAAAATGGCAGTGTGTGCTAAGAGTCATCTTTCTTGCCAATAAGGCAAACAACAGGATTAATTAATTTTAAGGAAGATGGGAGAGGAAAATTAAGAAAGGCAGGGTTGTCAAGAAACTGTCACCATGAGAGCAGGTCAGAAAACAAGTCCTACTCTAGAAAACTATGAAGTTTTGGATATCTAATTTTTCTCCTCATCCAGGTGAACCATTCTCCCCCAAACTGGAGAGCCCATTGGTTAAGGCACAACCCTATTCATCAGCCCAGTACTGAAAGTATCTTTCAGTCTCCCTCTCAAAATATTAAGTAGATCCAACATTCACTGAAGTTGGTAAGCCACAGACCAGCACTAAGAGCCTACAGTCAGGGACAACAAGGACTTTCTCTCACTCAAGAAAAGCACCCTGAGCTACCAGGAGAGCAAATCATGACCTAGCTTATTATGAGCTTGGCTGTGGACTAGTTGAGTACCTTTGGCCCACGGAATAAAGTGCATGTGTGTGAGTGTGTCTGCAGTGTTTATTTTGCTTTTTTTTTTTCTTAACTAGCCCATCAGTTGAAGAGCTTTTGTCACAGGTGAGGGCTTCTCAACAGCAGGTTACCACAAGCTATTGGCAATATCTCCTGCTGCATATTTCTCTGTCCTTTGATTTGAAGGAAACAAACCCAGGAAAGTTTCTCTTTAACAGGAATTATTTTTGTGAAAAGTTTTGATGTATCAGCATTTTCCAGTAAAAGAAAACCAAAACATTTTCTCAGAAAATTCCTAACCAGCTCTAGTCATCACTTTTCAGAGAAGCTGCCTGTCCAAAAAATGGAAATTCCAATGTACATGGAAAAGGAGTTCAGAAAAGTATAGTATCATAGTGTCTGTATCTCTGTGTCACCTGCTAAAGAATGCCTGTGAAAACAATATCCTCAGTGAGCAGACTGAGCACAGAAGCTGTAATGAGATTGTTCAGCATCCTACAGAACCACACTCTTCCTTGCAGGGGGAAAACAACAGGTTTTACTGCACGTGATGCTGCCAGTCTGCTTTTGACTTGCCCACTCAGCTCACAAAATACTCCACTTTGAAATTTCATTTCAAAGTATTTATTTTTTAACTAGAAAGCAGTTAGGTCTTGGAAGCCATGAGCATGCCATACTGTGCCTGATGCCCTCAGATATTGCCCCAGAACCCGCTGCCACAGTTCCCTGCCCTTGCTTTGCCTGCTCCTGGCAGATTCTTTCCCTGAATTGTGCCTGTCCTTTGTTTCTGTCTGTGCAAAGGTCTGACCCTAACAATGTTGCCGGAAGGAAGGAAAGGTTTGTAGAAACCTTTACAAACTTTTTTCCTTAAACGTCTTCCCAGAGGGCCAATAGAAAGCACAGAGTTGGCTCTTCAGATAATCGGACCAGGGGGGACACTTCAGGAAAGAAATTCAGCTAAAGAGCATCCAGCACTTGATTACTTATTGTTCGTTCCTTCCCCCCCCCCCCCCCCTCCATCTCCCGGATTTCAGCGGGAACATCTAATGAAATTACAAGTATTTCAGTCTGGAAATAGCACGCTCATGCTGTTGAACTTCAGCAAGGACATTCCCGTTCAGCAATGCACTATCCCGTGCTTTGGGTATTCCTTGTCAACTTCTGTTATTTAACATTTATTCTACCACTGGAAATTAAGGATACGCGGTCTCGCCTGATAACGACCGGGAGCACCTCTGGGCAAGGATGCGATTTCCTTTCCCCAGCTCTGCCAGTCCTGAGCGAGCCCCGCGCCCACTCCCGCACGGTGCAGGCGCTGGCAGCGGCGGCCCCTCCGCAGCCCCGGGCCGGGACCCGCCTCCCTCAGGGCTGCGCGCCTCGTCCCGGCCGGCTCCGCTCGGCTCCGCGGCGCTGCCAGCCCGCCCGGACACGCGGGGTGAGGCGCTGCCAGCCCCACCTGCGGGCTCAGACCTGCGGGCTGCGGGCTCAGACCTGCGGGCTGCGGGCTCAGACCTGCGGGCTGCGACCTGAGGGCAGCGCCCGGCGCGCCGCCCCAGCGCCCTCCCTGCCGCGGCGGAGCGGGGGAGAGGGGCCGTGCTGCGGCTGCGAGTCGGCCGGGGGTCGCTAGCGAAGTGATAGAAGAACTGACCTGCCGCGGGGATGGCGGTGGGCAGCAGCAGCAGCTGGTGGAGCAGCAAGGCTGGCAGGAGGTGGGTGGCCCGCATGGTGCTGGCGGCCCCCCCGGCGGCTGGCGGGGAGGAGAAGGGGAGATGGCTCCTCGGAGGGACCCCGTGCACCGCCGGTCACTCGAGGAGGCAGAGTGAGCCGAGCTTTTTATTGCGATGATCTAAGTTTGTTGTGTGATTAACTGGAAAGATCTGGGTCCCAACTCCCTCTTACGGTAAGAAACTGTTTAACAACATCCCCTCTCTGCCTCTTCTTCTCCTCCCCTCCTCAGGAGCTGCCTCCCTTCCCTCCCACCCCTCAACCAGCCCAGGGAGAGGGCTTCCCCCGCCTCATCTCTCCCTCCCTCCCTCCTTCCCCCCTCCTTCCCCCCGCCTCTCTCTCCATCCCTCCGGAGCTCGGGAGGAGCAGCCGGGCCGGGCCAGGTCCCTCAGCTCTTGCCCCGGGGCTGGTGGCTCCTGCGGCAGGGTTCCCTCACAGTCCCCACTGCCATCTCACCTGCAGCCAGAACAGACCTCTTCTTCCCTGCAGACGTGTCCCTTCACAGCGTCCCCCTTTCTGCACCTGCCCCTTGGCCTCATGGCCAGGCAGCACCTCCATCCATTGCCCTTTCACTGGGATTCTCCCACCACACGCACAATTTCACTGTAAGGAAACACCTTTCCTCTGACCTGCCCGTGGCCGCCCCCAGCCACCAGCCTGGCCTTTCCATCACCCTCTTTGGCCATCTGACAAATGCCACTTCCTCAAAATTGTGGCAGCTCTGGGGAATTTAAAGGTCAAGTATCAGCTGCTGGCGTTGCTCCATGGAGACAATCTTCAGTCCAAAGCGATGCCTGACCTTCCTTCTGTTGCAGGCAAAGTCATTGTAATTTTTCTCTTGCACTTCATTTTAACCTCATGGAAGCAATGACATTGGGTTTTGTTTAAAGTCATGAGACCGGCCTTCGTGACATGCAAGTGTTCAAAAATAAACACTTGAGGAAAAGTTTTGCTGTAATTTAAACTGTTCCTTTCTCCCATGCATCCACCTACCATCTACGGCAGGAGTGTGTGACAACAGTGGAAACTGTTTCCCTCCATTTTCCACGAAAAAACAGAGACCCACATGTGGCCCCATGCCATGTGAGTCAGAAAAATGTGTCTCCTACCCAGCCTGGACTCCTTTGCCCATATTGATGATTAGCACCTATGAGTGAAACAGGTATTCTTAAAAAAATAGATGGTTTCCCAATCCACAAATAACTTTTAATCAAGTATTTCCAACAGATGTGAGTGCGACTTTTTATCCAGTTACTTTTGCCCAGTGGCAAAAGTTAAAATTTCCATTTGGGAATTACTGCCTTACTAAATGAAAGCAAGGTGAAAAAAGCAAAAAATTGAGAGACAGTCTGTTAAGAAAATATTTTGAACATTTGGTATTACAGGAAAAACACATTTGTGTGAAAAAAATACTTTCTGTTTCAGAATGAGCATTATTTCTAGAAGTTTTAGTTGATTTTTTTTTTTTTTTGCTGTCCTCATTTTTGTCCCAAAAGTAAAAGTTAATTTTCAGGAATTTCTTGGAGATGTACTACCTGAGAAACAGAGAACATATACCTGAGAAACAGAGAACACTGGCCAACAACCTTGTGTGGAATCGTTGTCTACTGCAACTGATAAAACATGGATTTCTCAGGTTTTGTTTTCTGTTTTTCTCCCTGCCAAAGATAGACATAAGTATAAACAAAAAGCAGCAAAAATAATCATATCACCATTCTGAGCCCAAAATAGCCACATTCTGCTAACCAGATGTATTTCACTTGTTGTCCATGCATGTGTTGAGTGACATTTTTTGCAGAGGACAGAATCATGCACCATTAAAATCAAGTAGAGTGTTTTACCACTGACTTCTCTGAGGGGAATATTTGGCCTGTATTCAGATTCCTCCTAAATTTTAGGAAGATTGCTGTTGTGTCTCTTAAGGTCTGGAGTGCTCCTTAATGGAGGAAATATTCTGCTACATGGAATCCTATTATTAATACATAATATTGTGGATTATTCATGACGTGTCTCAGTTCTGTAAGCGAGCTCAAGTCCCAGTCATGAGCTTCTTCAGCTGCAGATATTGTGCTGGGCAGGTGTAACTCCATAGTGCTGCTTCTCCATTTGTCCAGTTTTGAGGAGCTGCTTGGGGATGCCTCTGCCTTTTACACAGGCCATTATATATCTCCCCTCAGAGGAAGTCAGGACACACGGACTAGAGGGCCAGGGACAGCAGGTACATTAGAAAGGGAAAGATCCTACAGATTCTATATTCAGATATTCTATTTGTAGGCAGTCAAGACTGAGATTTGCATCTGGATCTGTGAAAGGAAAATGCTTTTTGGTCCCACATCATATACTGCAAAATGTAGCATGAGCCTTTTTCTGTGTCTTCATGCCCCATCTGTTTTGCAGTGGAAGCATAATATTTTATCGATTCAATCAAATTTGATCTTGAAATGAATTTTCAATATGAAGGAAAGCTGCAAAAATTTCATTTTCATGAAATACATTTTCCAAAAGAATTCTGTGTTCTGTTTCAGCCTGCACATAGAGTAACTAAAACTTAAAATGCAACATTCAAAAGTTGTAGGTTTTATGCAAGAATATTGTTTTCTGACCCTTTGAGGGCATGTTTTTGACCTATAAATCCTTTCTCTATTTCTGTTTTTGGGGCTTATCTGAGAGTGGGGATTTTTGTGTTGTTGGGTTTTTTGATTTTTTTTTCTAATTTTTTTTGGCAGCTCTGCAAACTTGCTCTGATAACCTGGCTTTCAAATCAGTGTAGCTCTGTATTAGGAAAGTAGCATAACATTTCTGTAGAAGTTATCTAAAAAGAAAAGAGTTACTTGCACACTTTACCAAAGATGTATTTGCTCTGGACTGCCTACATGAGTGAAAAATTTCAAAAAACTTTATTTTGGTTGGAAAAGTAAGCAGACATGACCAAACACATGGAAACTGCTATTTTTGTGTTCTCTTTTCTGACCATAACCACAGCTGAATCTGTTTTTCAGATGTAACTTGCTGTTCAGAAATGCTAGATATTCACAGTTTGGGCAGGAATCCTTACATGTACACAAAATAATATTAAGTCACCATTAGCTTTGAAGAAAACTTTTCTAAATGAACCAGCATTTTCATATGAAGCAACACTTTTGCTCAAAATATTTGCTTTTTACTTCTTGATTTATCTGGTATAGGTATCACTGTGGTAAAGTCCTACTGGAGAATAAGCCAAATAAAATAAGTAAGTGCTTGCAGTAATAACTGTTAAACACAGAGTTAATCAATGAAAAAGTCTCAGGCTGCCTGAGTAGTTTAAACTGAAGAATTGTGCTTCACATTTCAAGAAGTACTAAGCTTTATTGTCTTTTTTTTTTTTTTTTTTATAACCTGACCTTGAGATTAGGAGCAGAAAAGATTAGATTCTGGTGTGGACCACAAGATTTGACACTGCTGGGAAAGGCAGAGTTTAAGCAGAGTTGCAGCACATGACAGGTGTCAGTACTTGCTGAGGCACTCAGCCAGAGCCCAAGCTCTGGTATTTTCCAAGATAATACCTCTGACTTCTTTGTGCAGAAAGAGAAAGGGAAATAAGGCATGAAAACTGGGAGGAGGAGCAGGAAGGAGTGGATAACAAGATCCACATATGGGAATTAATATCCAGTTGAAAGCAAAGGCTCAGAAACTTCACGGTCTACAATTCTAGATTCAGTCCACAGGACTTGGCATGTCATCATACCAAATGTTGCAGATCTGACCTGCTTGTCCCAGAGGGCAGATTCACCACCCCAGCCAAGTGTGCTGAGCCCTGGGCAGTGGAGCAGGACAGGTGGCACCTCACATGAGCCTTGGTGCTGATTCCCCACCAGGGAAACTCGAGAATGAAGACAAGCTCCAGAGTGACTTGGCTGGGCTTGGTTCCACCTATTTTAATTCACATGTGTTCATAATATTCAATCATAGATAATTTGCAATTCTTACTGCACCCAGAGCCCCAGGTGTTCAGGCCTGGCTGCTAAACCCGAGGCAGGTAATCCAGCATTCATCCCTGCAGTCAGTTAATAGTGTAAATCCTTCATGGTTTTCCTGTGTGGGACATATGGTAGTTGCTTTTCTCATATTTGCTGTATGCTAACTAGGAGGAGTTCAGATGGATAACAGAACAATTTTTAAGTTCTAGTGTGAAAGTCGTTTAAGTCATTTATGGAATGGTACCCAAGGGCAGCAGATGATAATGCAGCCCATCAGAAATTACTATTTCTAATGTTTGGGAAGATAAAAAAGAAAGAAAAGGAAGGAAGGAAGGAAGGAAGGAAGGAAGGAAGGAAGGAAGGAAGGAAGGAAGGAAGGAAGGAAGGAAGGAAGGAAGGAAGGAAGGAAGGAAGGAAGGAGAAAGAAAGGAAGGAAGGAGAAAGAAAGAAAGAAGAAAGAAAGAAAGAAAGAAAGAAAGAAAGAAAGAAAGAAAGAAAGAAAGAAAGAAAGAAAGAAAGAAAGAAAGAAAGAAAGAAAGAAAGAAAGAGAGAAAGGAAAGAAAGATGCAATAACATATACAACACATTGTTATTAATGTTAAAATTTTATCTGATTGAAATTTAGATATTTCTACATCCAAATGTTTTATCTACGTGGAGATGTGCGTGCAAAATTATTATTTCCATTAAAAATTTCCAGTAACATTCATTTGAAGTTTTGTGGGATGTGCTGCACTGTGGTTATGAGGAATTTGAAACACCAAAAATTCCTCAGTTAACTCAAAAGAATTTGTTCCTTGTATATAATCAAAGTTTAGGTATATTGATGAAGAATGCTAAACTTTTGGTTTATATTTGTTTTTTTCCTCTGTTAATAATGTCTGCACTGCCAAGAAAGTCTGCAAAGAATAAACACCACTGGTAGTACTGGTAAATAAATTCTCTTACTCAAGGCCTAATTTGAACTGCAAACCCCTTACAATAGCTTTTTATTTATTTTTTATTTTGTGCAAGAATGTAAGAAAAAATGAACCTCTCTG